GTCGTTGTTAGGCAGCTCTGCCGACCTTGGGACTTACAATGGACTTGAATCAATGGCCTGCTGTGTGGTTTGGTAATATCGGGACTGTGCCATTTTCTTTGTCGACCTTGGGCTTGTTAGCCTCAGCAGCCAGTAGCTGCCTGAGTGAAGAGATGCCTCCAGCTTCAGTGGGCCGGGAGCAAGAGGCAGAGCTGAAGCCCAAGGTTGAGGGGTTTTCACACAGCCCCTAGAGCCTGGCACCTTGAACTCAAGACTTCTAGCCTCCCGAACTGTAGGAGAAGAAACTCCTGTTTGTTCAAGTCATCCCAGTTGTGGGAATTTCTGTTAGAGCGGTACAGAGGTAACCAGAACACTTGAGTTGACCTGACTGCAACTGGCTTTGTATAGACAGGGAAAAGGGAGCTTAGCTCAGAAAAGGAGAATGGGGACCTCTCCCTAGCGGGACAGAGTGGGAACACGGGACTGCCCCACAAATGATAGGATTACAGGCACTGTCGAGAGATGTGGGGTGACTGCTTGCTGGTGGATCAGCCCCTGACTCACGGCATACACCACATAGCACTGTCTGGTCCTGCCACCACCAGGATCCGTTGTGGCTCAAACCACTGTGATCCATAGGGCTTTCTCTGGCTGATTTTTAAAAACAGACCACCAGCCCTTTCTCCCTAGTTTTAGTCTGGAGGCTCTGCTAAAGCCTGTTCAGCATCAGAGCAACACACAAGCCTCCATTTACAGACGGGTGGTGGCTGCACGTGAGGTGCATTGGCCAGGAGTCCACCCTGGGTCTCTTGCAAGGAAGATGAGAATTCCACCACTGAACCTGCACTGCCTTTGGACCACCACTAGGGGCAGCCCAGAGCATGGCCCACTCCACAGTGCGAACACTGCCCCTGGGCCACCACTAGGGGCAGCCCTTCAAGCAAGTGCCCAGGTGTCAACAATTATGCTGATTGCTGTTAGCATCTTTTTTTCCCCCCACCTTTATTGTGGTGAAAAGGTACACAATGATACATTCGCTAACATAACAACTTCTCCATTTGCAGCTCAGGGACGCTGATGACATTTTTCATGTTGTGCCACTATTATTACTATCCCTCTCCAAAACATTCCACCACCGTTAACTTTGTTTCCGGACCATGGCCCGCTTCACAGTGCAAACTCCCAGTACCCCTGGGTGGCACTGCAGGCCCACCATTCCCCTGGGGTGGGACCTGCTGCCAAGACCCCCTGCCCCAGGATTCCTGGGTGTTCACATCTCCAGATCAGCTCATCAGAGCCAGCGCAGATTCTTGGGACTTCACTCACCATTTGCCAGGCTGTGGACTAACACTTGCCTGGCAGGGAATTGAGGGGACGCCGTCTGGGGCCCTCCTTGGCGTGGGTATTCTGATGCGGCACCAGGAATCAGTAGGACTTTGACAGGTGGGGACAGAAAGGGGGCTTCCTGGCGGAGGGCACAGTTCTGGACATAAAAGAGTTTGCTTTGGAGACAGGAAGTACTTTTCAAAGAGCACCTTGGAGGAAACTGAGGCACAGAGAGGACAAAGGGCTTGGACCAGGTCACAGAGGAAGCGAGGGGTGTGGCTGAATTCCGAACCCAGGGCCCAGGACCAGGTGCATAACATCTGTACAGACTTCCGAGCCCTCTGGAGTCCTTCCTTACCACGTGCCTGGCCCCCTGCTGAGGGCTCTTCTTCACAGTATCTCTTATCTTCTCCCACCCCCAGAGGTGGTGCTATGGGTCAGAGGTGTTGACTGACTTCCCCAACGCCTGGGAGATGGTGGGAGCTGAGGAGGCTACTTCCCTGTTCACACTTGGCCAGAGGCATATCTAATATGTGGCAGGTCTGGCATGTGGCCTGGGTGCCACTTGAAGGAGGCACCATTGAGCAGTTTCTGTGAACCATCGCAGCTGCCATGGTCAGCTGTGAGGTTCATTAGCTAAAGCTAGTACGTTGGTATCTGAGTGTCTCCACGGGTCAGGGCCGGCTGTGTGATCTTGCTTTGCTGAACGTAGAAAGAGAAACCACACAGAAATGACTCTTGAGCCCATCCTAGACTGATTCCCATCTGTGAAAACAAGCAAGGGGCAGTTGTCACCTTCAAGTAGTGCCGTCACGTGCAAAGTGAAAAAGGAACAAGCTAGCCTTGTGTTTTGGAGCTGATAGGACGCTGAAGTTATCTAAAGGGTGAGTGGCAGATGTGCAGACAGGCGCACAGTGTCAGTGCTTGCCACAGGCCCTGTTTCCCCAAGACACACCTCTGCACCTGGCACAGGACCCACGGCCCAGGTGGGAAGGAGGACGCAACACCCAGTCTGTCTGTCTGCCCATTCCAGAACGCACATACCAGGGGCTCCAAGGCCAGGCTCTGGACTGGCACCAGCCTCCAGCAGTGAATGAGGTCAGTGCTCCAGGTTCAGTCACAGAGACCCTGGCCATATGCTGGGGGCTAGGAGGATGCAGAGGAGAAGCCCCAAGGATTAGGGAGAACTTCCTGGAGGGGGAATCCCAGAAACAGCTGCAGGAGTCCAGGAGACCTGTGTTGCGCCCCTCCCCTACATAGAACAAGTGCCCAATCAAACCAAACTGCCTAACCCTAACCCTAGTTGATTCTGACTCATAGCGACCCCATTGGGTTTCCAAGGCACGGAAGCAGACTGCCTTATCTTTCTTCCATGGAGCAGCTGGTGGGTTCAAACCACTGACCTTTTGTTTAGCAGTCAAATGCCAGCCTTTAAGCAAGTGCTCAGGTATCAACAATTATGGTGATTGCTGTTAGCACCTCCCCTCCTCCACTTTTATTGTAGTGAAAACATGCACAATGATACATTCGCTAACATAACAACTTCCCCGTTTACAGCTCAGGGACACCACACCGATGACATTTTTCATGTTGTGCCACCATTACTACAATCCCTCCCCAAAACATTCCACCACCATTAACATAAACTCAATGCCCCACAAACAAAACCTTCCCCCTCCCCCGCCCCTGCCTGTTAGTTGTTACCAAGTCCATTCTGACTCAATGCAACTCCACTATTTCACAGTAGAACTGCTCCCTAGGGCTTTCTCAGCTGTGATCTTAGTGAAAGAAGATTGGCAGGCCTATCTCCTATGGTAGCTTTGGGTGAGTTAGAACCCCCCACCTTTAAAGTAGCAGTGAGGTGCAAACAGTTTGTGTCACTGGGGACCTCCCCTGATAACAGCAGTAACAATATTAATAGCAAGCTCCTGTTGTGGAGCCCAACCAACCAAACCCATTGTCAAGTTGATTGACGCCAACTCATGGCAACCCCATGTGTTCACAGTAGAACTAACTCTGCCCCAGAGCTGCTCAGTGGTTGATTTTTTGGATAGATTGCCAGGCTCCTTCTAGGTGGTCTCCAACCTCCAAACCTTGGGTTAGCAGCTAAGCACACTCACCGTTTGTGCCATCTGTCGTTATTAGGTGCCATCAAGTCAGCTCGACTCATAGCGACCCCATGTACAACAGAACGAAACCCTGCCCAGTCCTGCCCCAGCCTCACAATCCTCGCTAGACTCGAGCCCATAATTGGAGCCACTGTGTCAATCTACATCACTGAGGGCCTAACCCATTTTTGCTGAGCCTCCACTTCACCAAACATGACATCCTTCTCCAGGCAGTGTCCCTTCTGACAAGTGGATGGTGCCACCTGGGGACCTTCAGACCTGGTCCTGGGAGGAAGCAGACATCTAGGGCTAGGCAGGGCCTCCAGCACCCCCACCTCCATCCCCACTGGGGAGACTGACAGGACAGTTGCAGTATTTGCACCCCTTCTACCCTTAGAGGGAGCCCAGGCCATGGGGTACGGGGCAATCTCTGCAGTGCAGGTACCGGCTTCCAGTGCAGAAAGGCCCTCGGTGAATCCTAGCTCAGACCTCCCCCTCTTTTTTCTTAAGCTTCTGACACCTTCAGTTCAGCCTGAAGCTAAGCAGGATTTCATCAGCCCGGCTCCCCCTTCTTCCCATCTTCAGGATGCCCCAAGAGGCAACTCAAAACCCTCCCCAGCCCACCACACCCACTTCCCAGATAAGCCCGAGACCTGGTGTGGGCTGTGACCTGCCCGAGAGTCCACAGATGCTGCTCTCAGATACCAGGGACCCAGTAAAGCAGGTGGCCAGGCCTGGAGGCCCCGTCTATTCACGGCAGCAACTTTGGGAGAGCCCTGGCCCAGGTGGGGTAGGGAAAGACCTGGTCATCTGTGGGCTACTGCAGGCAGCCAGGCTGTGCCCCGCCTAGGCAGTGTGAAGGGAGGCACAGAGATGGACAGGTGGCCTGCGGCACGCAGACCCAGAGACCTCATTACAGTGGGTGACAGGAGGAGGCGGTGCAGATCAGGAGAGACACCAGCCTCCTCTCCCCAAACTCTGGAAGCTCCTGAAGATCCAGCCCTCAGCCCTGGGCCCTGGGTCCTGATCTGCCGGGTCCGGCCCTGTCCCGTTTTGCAGAGCAGCCAAGTGAGGTGAAGCTCACCTCGCCTGTCTCAAGGACACTGATCCAAGGAGGATGAAGTGCAGGAACGGACCCGGCCCTCAGTGAACCCGAGCCAGGGCTTCCTCACCCCCATGGGGGTCACCATCCTGCCAACCTCCTGTCCCCTCACGGGCTCGACTCCCCTGGGTGGTCGAGTGGGCTCTAACTCTAAAATTCATACAAACCCAACACCCCACTCCATCACTTATCATCTGGGTTTGTTTTAATATAAAAATAACAGCTTTCCCCAAATCTTGGCTCTCGGCAAACATGCCACGGTCAGTGTGTATCTCCGTGTGTCACCTCCGTCCCCTGGTTCCATTGCGCAGAAGAGTCACAGCCTTAGGACTGCAGCGCTGGGTGCCGACTGGACAGGCAGGGGCCAAGGGGAAGCAGCAGGACCTGGAAGACAGGGCGGGCCCCCCAAGCTGTGGGGAGTCAGTCCTGCTTGGAGCTGGCTGCTGGCGCCCTGAGCCCTCGCTGTGCCTGCCTGGGTGCTGCTGTCACTGGTGGAGGTAGGCTTCCAGCCAGACGTCACCAGACTTCTTCAGGGACCTGGAGGCAGGTGGGAGTGGTTGTTAGGGACTCCCTGGCAAGATGCTGACAGCCCTTCCCTAGATGATGGGTGTGTGTGGCCACAGCCTCAGTCCCTCACAGTCCCCTCCTCCCAGGATGGGGCTGGAGGGCTGGGCTAGGAGAGGAGGCTCAGTGCTCATTAATTCATTCACGGGCCAGGATGTGACCTCTAGACCGCACATGCAGGCTCTGGGCCAGGCACTGAGACCCAGAGATCTCTAAGGAGGGACAAAAGCCTACGCCAGGGGCTCTGTGGGGCTGGCGAGTGGCAGCCCGGAGCAAGGAGAAGTGGGACTTTGAACACCAACAGAGAAAAGGAAGGACATCCGAGTAAAGGCAGCAGCATGTGCAAAGGCACTAGGGTGGGACGACCCTGGATACCCAGAATGCCACCTCTGTTCCCCGCCTCCACGGCCACCCCCACCCCCTCCTTTGGGCCCCAGCACACACACCTCGCCTGGGGCCACTGCGGGGGCCATGGCTCTGCTCTCTGCTGTGACTCTTGCCCCAGTCAGTATATTCTCACAGTCAGGGATCTTTCTAGAATCTAAGCCGGGACGTGCACCACAGTGGCTTCCTACTTACTCAGCACACAAACCAGTCTTCCTGGACACCTGCAGACCTGGCCTTGCTCCACCTGCCCCTCGAGCACCTGCCCCAGCCTCCTCCCACACACCAGGCTGCACCGCCTCAGGGCCTTTGTGTTGGCTGTTCCCTCTCCCTGGAACACTCTTCTCCCGGCTGGCCCACGGCCGGTCCTCTCTCTCCTCCACGTCTCCCCTCACACGTCTCCTTCTCAGGACCGCCCCCACCCTGGCACTGCTGCCCCTCCTGCTGGGTTTCTGTCTATGGCACTTCCCTCCTCACTCTGTGGGATTTGTTTACTGTTAGTTTATGACTTTTACTGCTTGCTGGTTCCCTGCGGGTACATCAGCTTCAGGAAGGCGGAGTCTTGGCCTGTTTGGCTCACTGATGTGTGGTGGTGGTGGGGGGGTGTACTTAGAATGGGGCCTGCAGGCTCCTCAAAGCCTCGCTGTGTGAACGGTCCCTGGGGACAGGCGGGACACAGGCTGGGGACAGAGGGGGCTGGCCAGGATATGGGCGGGCACACAGCCAAGAAGCCATACCTGATGATGTCCCCCAGAGCAGTGAGGATAGGCTTCACCTCGTAGTTGAGGCCGTGCTTGGTACACAGTGCTCTGACCAGGGGGGCCACCCTGCGGTAGTTGTGCCGTGGCATTGTGGGGAAGAGGCTGGGGCGGGAGGAAGTGCATACTGGCATCTGAAGTGAGGGGCTGCAGAGAGAGCCCCCACCCCATGCAGTACTTTTCCCGGGGTTCCCAGGGAGTCCAGGGCTTGTATCGTGGCCTCCCAAGGCAAAGATGGGGCTCCTGGTCCAGCCCCTGGCTCAGGCTTCACTCCCCTCCCCTGTAGGGCCCCTGAGCCCTAGCCCTGGCTGGTCCACACTCACTGGTGTTCAATCTGGAAGTTGAGGTGCCCGCTGAACCAGTCATTGAAGAAGGACTGTTCCACATTGCAGGTGGCGGCCAGCTACCCAGAGCAGACGGAGCGCCAAGTGAGGAAGGCTAGCTCCCACAGCACCCCAGATGCCTTCATCAATCCCTGCTGGCTGGCTCCCAGATGGGACCCCCACCCCTGGGGTGGCTCAGCCTGCCCTGCCCCCACTGCCCACCTGGGAGCTGGCCCAGTCTCGGTGCTTTTCCCGACCGATCTCTTTGGGGATGTGATTCATCTGTGTGATCCACACGAACCAGTGGCTCTCCAGGACCCTGTGGAGGAAGGCTTGCCACTGCCCTGTGTCCAGCTCATCACTCAGGCACCATGAGCGGAGGCTGGAGGCTGCAGTAACCCAGACCTGGGCCTCAGCTTCCTGATCTATACAACGGGATTGTGCCAACTCTCCCCTCGCAGGGGTTTAAAGCAGCTGCATGGAGTGTGTCCGCCGTGAGGCTGAGCCCAGAACCCTGCTCAGGATGTAGACACCGCAGGGCTGCTGGCAAACCTGGCTATTTTCCCCAGACCCGCAGCCCCTGGGCTCCTGCCACTCTCATGTTCATTCAATTCCTCAGCCATCCAGGGAGGCAGTCCTGCTGTGCCTGTTCCGCAGATGGGGACACGGAGGCCCCAGTGGTGGAGGGCTGTGGTCAGTGTCACCCTGCTGCCTGGGTGAGTTCCAGTTCCCTGCCACTCCCAGCCCGACCATACCTGACAGCCACAAAGAGGAACAGCACCCCAGGGACGCCGTAGAAGGGAGCATAAGACAAGAAGAAGCGGAAGTAGAAGCTGGCGGCCCAGAGCAAGTCCTGCAGGTGAGAGTAGTGGTGTTACTGGGTAGCCTTGAGGCAACCAGGGTCTGGGAGCCTGGGAAGTGCAAGGTAGGCCATTCTGCACCTCATTTTTCTCAGCTGAGTAAAGTGACAAGGCCCCTGCCCTGCCTGCCTCATGAGGCTGGCCATATGAAGGTGCCATTTGTCTCCTGGGGTCCCCCTGACTGACTAATCCCTGGCAGAGCCAGCCCAGTGGATTCCTGTCCAGGGAAGACAGTCCAACATAAGAGACCCACAGTGTGACCCATGCATGCACGCTCGCTCTCATCCTCCACACACATATGTACAGATTCCACTGTCATGAGCACACGCTCTCCTTTGGCACACACAGACATGTACCACACCATCACCTGCACACACTCCCTCTTGCACACACAGATATACCACACTATCACATATGCAGTAACTCCACCTGCACACACACCACACTATCACATGCACTCACTCTCCCACTGCACACACACACCACACCATCACCTGTACACACTCTCCTCCTATACATACACACCCCCCACACTATCATGTGTACAAACTCTCCTTCACACACATACACAAACACCACACCATCACCTGCACACACTCTCCCACTACATACACACACACACCACATCCATGCATGCATACTCACTCCTGCACACATATCACACACCATATGTATATACTCTCCCCCTGCACACACATGCAGACCATCACATGTAGGTGTTCTCCCCCTGCACATAAACACACATCCCACACCATCACATGAACACTCTCCCCCTGCACATACATTGTTGTGCACACACACTTCCCCCTACACACAGATATATATAACACCACTGCAAACGCACACTCACTCACCCTGCACACACGAAGGTACCACACCATTGCCCACACATACTTCTTCCCCCTGTACACACACACATACCACACCATTGCATGCTCCCTCTCCCTTGCATGTACACACACACCTCACCATCATGAATATGCATGCACATCTGTTATCATCATGGACAAGCGTGGCCTTCCTAAAGCCCTACCTGCCACCACAGCCATCCACCTGGAAGCCCTGAGCAGAGACCACCCCCACTCACCATCCACCGCATGCACACCAGCATGTACGCCAAGTTTTCCACTTCAAAGTTCACCAGGGTGAGCAGCGGCGGGCCAACTGAGGAAGGGATACAAGATGGCTTGGGAGCAGGGCTGGGCGCCCAGGCAAGTCAGAGAGTGGGAGTTGGGGAGTGGGGCGTTGGTGTTGGTCCCACCTAGCTGGGATGACCCTGTGCCACCCACAAGGCCTAGTCTGCACTCAGTCCCTTGGTGTTCAAAACTTCCCCAGACACCCTCACCCTACGCCTTCCCCTGTCCTGTCTGTGGCAAGTCAGGGACCAGCCTTGCATGCTCTCACCTTGGATCCTCCCCTAAACCCTCTAGGGCTCTGGACCACCCTGAAATGACAGCAGGAAGGGATTCTCAGGATGGTCTAGGGAAGCTCCGAGCAGGGCTGTGACTGCATCTGGTAGGAAAGCATCCCAGGCAGGGGGCGCAGTCAGGGCAGAGGCCCAGGGAGGGTCTGTGTGGGGAGGACCCTGCCTCAGCTCCTTGCCCAGCCATGTCCCAGCAGGACACATGGACACTCACTCAGGAGGAAGTACAGGTGCTGGTGGTTGTAGGGCAGGTACCTGCGTTTCTTCTTGCCATACTGTGGAGACAGGGGACAGCTGGGGAGGGCAGCTCTCATGCCCTGCCAGGCAGGGTCAGGGGCTGGCTAGGGCAAGGGTCAAAAGGCAAATCTAGACTCTAGCCAATGGGACCCTCTTCCCCAGCAGGTGTTGGAGGAACACTGAGGCAGGGACTGGGGCTGTGCCACAGTGGTCCCCCTCAAACTGCAGTTGCAGCCCATGAGCGTCCAGATCCCTCCCCATGGACCTCAACGGAAGACTCTCCCAGGAGGAAGACGGGTGCCACGGTCACATCTGGGTCTTTGTGGACAATGTTGGGCTTGGCATGGTGCTGGAAGTGACGGAAGTTCCACCAGTGGGCCGAGAAACCCTGCGGGGGGCGGGGGGCGATGGGGACTCTCAGGGGTGGGAGCAAGGTGGTGTCCACTGCTCCACACCCCCACACTTGGGCAGAGCCGGCATGGCACCCCCCACTCAGTGGCTCGCTGCCCACTTTCCCTACACCCACCTTCAGCTGCCCCATCACAAACTGCTGGGCCAGGTGGTTCCAGCGGGACTTCCGGAAGACAGAGGCATGACCCAGGTCATGCTGCAGACACCAGCTCTGGGCCTGGGAGAGAGGGTGGTTGGGTCAGGAGCAGGCAGCTTGCACCAGAGGGGCCTGGCTCCGGCCAGGATGAGTGGGGTGGTGCCCGTGGGACAGCTCAGCTCTGGGGAGGTTGAGGGGCAGCAAGCCCACCATGGAAGCTGTGACTGAGGTGTTATTAGGTAAGGAGCTTCCACAGGCCCACTCAAAAAGCAGCCTCACCCTCAGACACATGACTGATGGGGCCCTCTGGCTGATCATTCATTTGTTCATTCATCATCCATTCATCTAACCATTCAACAGATATGTCCCGAGTGCCACACACAGGTGGCTGCAGAACAATGGTGAGGTCACCTGAGAGAGGGCCAGGATGAGAGCAGCAAGGGCGCTGGGCACCCAGCCAGGGCCCAGGAGGTAGACAAGGAGCCAGGCGAGCACCTCCATGGCGAGGATGTGGCCCAGCAGGAGCGCAAAGAAGGCCGGGTTGGCCTCAAACAGCTTCATGTCCTCGGCGGCCTGGCGCAGGGCTCGGAAGTCCTCCACCAGCTGTGCCTGCACAGGCGGGGGGCCGGTTAGCTGAGGAAGCTGGCCCCAGAGGCCCCCCACTGATCCTCATGCCTCTGATGTTGCCCCCAGGGCCCTGTCCGGGCAGCCAATGTACAACAGAGAGCCTGGCTGTGCGCTGGGGACCTGGCTGTGGAGGAGACCCCCAGAGGTGTGGGGTGTGGGAGAAGCAGAGAAAGCCAGAGTGGGGGACCCATAGAGACCAGCACTTCAAAATCATTGTGGTGGGGATGCTGGATCCAGAACAGGGAAGGGGCTCACCTAGGGACCCCACAAGTGCCTGGCCAAGCCAGATCTGGTACCCTGGCGAGGGTCGCTACAGTGCAGCCCTTCCCAGCAAATTCAGGTGGAGCTGTTCCGGGCAGTGCCCTCACCCCTGAACCCCGCTCAGGGCCTGGCCCTCCAGCAGGGTTCTGCTCACATTTTGGGGTCCATCCAGGCTGGGCTCATCCGGTGCCAGCTCACCAATCAGCAGGGGCTGCAGGAACTTGCGCACGAAACCAAGGTCAGAGTGGAAGGCACGGAAGGCGTCCTGAGGGAGAGCGGATGGATAGTCAGGTGGACAGACAGACAGATGGAGTAGCACCCGGGGCGACAGGCAGAGACACGGTGTACAGGACTGCTGATGGACTGGCAGGGTGGACAGACAAACGGAGAGAAAGTCAGTGAGTTACGTAATGGTCACAGGAACAGGACCAAGTGGGTCAGCCTTGGCCATGAGCCTCTCTGGTCCTCCCCAGGTGCCCTGCCTGACACGCCTTCTGCTTAGTCTAGCACAGGGGGACAAACCTGGGTGAAGGTACAAAAACCTGGATTTATGGAAAGACTTCCCTGGGATATTTCAAATCCATCCACCAAAGAGTCTGCCTTTTCCCTGATCTCTGGAACGCGTCCTTAAATCACATAGTTCTGGAACAGAGAAGACGTGTGGAAACAGTCCAAAGGACTAAGGAACCATGTGAATCCCAGCCTCCACGGTCCTCAGACCAGAACTAGATGGTGCCTGGCCATGACTGCCACCTGCTTTGACAGGGATCACAGCAGAAGGTCCTGGATAGAGTGGGAGGAAAACGTGGAACAAAGCCCACACCTGGTCTGACAGGCACTGGTGCGGCCCCCGAGACTATGGCCCTTAGACCCCTTCAGTCCTGGAACTGAGCTCACCCCTGAACCTTGTGTCTCAATTGTCAGCCAAGTGACAGACAGAACTGTAAAGTGAACAATAACACCAAGGAGGTAAGTACCCCTTAGAACAACCAACCATTCGAGATCCAAAGGGCTGCATTTGCCAGGAATAAAGCTCAGAGCTGGTGGTTATAATTCATCTTCCTTCATGAATTTTTACAGAAAGAGAAAATTTTAAAAAATATGATGGGGGGGTGTGGTTCAAAGCTTTTTTAATAAATGCTCTTCGATGGTTATTTAAAAATACAGAAATAAATAAACCACACATTTCACTGCTGCATGTAAAAGATTTGGGCCACAAATATTAGATTCACCCAATTCTTAGAAACACAAGCCGTAGGTAAAGCATGGACGTGTGATGCGGGAACACGGAGCCACACCGATTGAGTTCTTCAACAGTTAAACTCATTTGACTTGAAAGGAGTAGAAAATAGACTAAATAGATAAATAAGTGAAAGAACCATCTAACATCCCCGTGATGCCCTGTAACAGCTGGAGGTGGGGGTAGGGGTTACAATGCAGAGGAAGGAAAGAGAAGAAAGAGGATTACAGTGGCAGGGGAGATGGAAGGAAAAAGAGCCAAGGAGAGGGGCCAGCCAGGGAGGGCCAGACAGTTCTGAAGGCTGTAAACTTGAACGTCACACCTAACCCATTGCGGTCCTGCGCATTCCGACTCAGGGAGACCCCATGTGTTACAGAGCAGAACTCCTCCATAGGGTTTTCTTGCCTGTAATCTTTACGGAAGCAGATTCCAGGCCGCTGGGTGGGTTCGAACTGCCAACCTTTCGGTTAGTGGTCAAGTGCCAACTGTTTGTGCCACCCAATTAATTGTTCACAGTGCCGCAACTGATTTTTATCCTCACACTTTGAGAAGCTCTCTCTGAACAGGTTAGCCATAGCCACACGGCAGCCCCAACTGCAGAAGCAGTGACTGGGGCAGTGTGTCCCCATGGGCCCAGGAAGGTGACTGACTGAGGGGCCTCGGGGCTGCTAATGGAAGCACTTCTGAAAGGGGCTTAGTGCAAACAGGGGCCTCCTATTGTCCTCAGGCTAATGAGCTTTCCAGCTTCTGGCCTGTATGAAAACAGAAGTAACAGCCGCCCCCATAATCACTGCCCACATCTCTGCAGTGTCCTGGGGGAAGGAATCCCCTCAGTCCCCTCTGGTCCTATTCAGGGGCCGCTCCTGCAGGATCCACCTTGAGGGGCCCCTTTCCTGCTGCCTGTTTCTTACTGGCTCAGGGCAGCCTGGAAATCCAGGGGAGGGGGCGGATGTTCTACAAATGAGCTGGGTCCTTAGGGAGGCAGACTTGGGGACCTCCCTGGAGCTCAATGCAGGGGACCTCAATGCCTGAGTGCAGACCTCATTTATTCTGGGGGTACGCAAGGTCTAGACACTGAAGGAGTGGCAGCCAAACCAAGAGAGAAGTGGAGACTGGAGACCCACATGATTTTTTTGCCCAGGGCCACAGGAGGAGCTGGGGCCCCGCTACACACCCAGAGGCATCTCCAAAGGGCTTGTGTGCCAAACCCAATGCCCCTGTGAACCTCTTGAAGGTGGCACTCTAGGTCTCTAGTTGGGTGGAACTGCTAGAAAAAAGAGGGTTCTCCTAAATGTACTGGAGGCCTGGTAGTACAGTGGTTAACTGCTTGGCTAACCGAAAGGTCAATGGTTCAAATCGACCAGCCGCTCCATGTGAGAAAGATGTGGCAGTCTGCTTCCGTAATGATTTATAGCCTTGGAAACACTATGGGGCAGTTCCACTCTGTCCTACAGGGTCACTGTGAATCAATTTGACAGCAATGGGTTTTTATGGGCCCCCTAAATGTAACTTCCTGGTAACAGAGACAGGATATGTTCACCGTGTTGTCCTCAGAGACTGGCACAGAGCAGGTGTGAATGAATACATGGACAATAGCAGGAAAAACAAACAACCATTTCATTGGTAAGAAACTGAGGCTCAGAGTGTGGGCATACCTGCCCAGGTCACAGAGTTAAGAGGCAGAACTGGGATTCGAACCCAATATGCTTCCTCATGGTCCCTACTAACCTCAGAGTGGTTCCATGGGCCACCAGAGCCCCTGCGCCATGCCCCAGCCTCCAGTTCCACCATGAGCTCTGGGTAGCTTTGCTGTCAGGGCCAGGGCGGGGCACTCAAGCCAGCCTGGCCTGGTGAGATGTGAGCCACCACCACTTACCGGCTGTGACTCCTCAGAGAAGCCCATACCCACCTCTACCTTGTGTTTCCTCATCAGTAAAACAAGAACCACCGGGGACCCTCTTGTGGGGGGTGGGAGGCCGAAGCTAGCCACTGCAGGTAAGGCACTTAACTGTGGGGCGTCCCCCAGTGTGCCACCATGTCACCTGTTATT